TTCCTAGACTGTATCTTTGTCGATACTTATGTCTGAGAATGTTTAGGATCATTCCTATTACACTCTATGTCGAGCCAATGTGGTACCATCGCACCTGTTATTAAGACACTAGGCTGTGTCCTTACTGGCTGATAAAGAGTTACTCTCTTGAAATGCTTGATACTTCTTAAATGAGAGGCTCCATGTTTTCCTTACCCAGTAAGCGCTGCAAATTATGTATCCGGTCCTGAACAGAATCATTGCCCTGACAGAAACTGGAACGTTTTTCCCAAGTAGGAAAGGGATCAGCCTCAAAATTGTCTCTAGGGAGCTATGCAGAGGATGCCTCATCAGCTGCTCTGGGTAACCACGGATTCCTTTGGCCCTGCTCCTCTGTGCTTACCTTTGCCAACATTTTTCCAAAGCCCAAGCCTGGAAAAAGCCATTTAGAGATCAACATTTTTCTGCTATGAGACTGGTATGCTTTTAGGAGGTAAAACCTTTTTCTAAGTTCAACTTTTTTCTGATTTTCATTCTTTAAACTCAGTATTTTTTCTTTTTACTGTATTTTCTAGAAAAATTGTACAAGTTTTGCCAAGTAAATCCTTATGAAGGAAACTGGCTTTGAGTCCTGTTTCAACCAGACACTATAGGAAGACATTTATTTTAAAATCATGCAGAATTGCTGCCTAATTTCTGCTGAACTGGCTCATCAAAGAGCCTTATCCACGACGGAAATACTTGAAGAGAGAAACTTTAGTTACTTCCTCAGATATGCTTTCATATCCGTGAAGTTTTCCGTGTCAACTTGACTGGGCCATGGCTTGCCCATAGTTAAACATTATTTCTGGGTGAGCCTGTGAGGATGTTTGTGGAAGATTAGTGTTTGAGTTGGTCTTCCCCAGTGTGGGTGGGGTCATTACTCTGCGTTGCAGATGTGAATAGGACGGCAAAAAACCGGTAAAGGAGATCGGAGGTCTCTGCCTATTGGAGCGACATATATCATTTTTTTTTGCCCCTCAGTGCTTCTCGAGTCTTAGACCCGCAGAGTTGGATTGGAAGCTACACCCCTTGGGTTCTCCAGCAATTCAGTCCTCAGAACTACACCACCCAACTTTTTGGCGGTCTCCAGATTGCAGATGGCAGGTTGTGTTGATTCCTTAAAATTACTTCCTCATAAAATTCCCATTATATATGTATGTATATGTGTATTTACACATATACTCATGTGTCTTGGGGAAACCCTAAACCCATAATACAATATTTAAACCCCAGTTTAGCCTGTCCTGGACAGTATTGGATACATGTCTATATGGGCTTGCTGTACACTTCAAGTAGCTGACGTGAACTTTAACTGACTTATCTTACAAGAATGGTATGAGAATTCATTTGACAAGGTAAAAATGCGTTTACATAACAGCATATTTACAAACCCAAGACTCTATTATTGTATTACACATTCACTGTTATTATGCATGATCCTTAGGATGATATCTTATCATAGGACCTAGTATAGCAATGATAACAGGCTGTTGACATTTAATGGCATATTTAAAGACAATTTTCATTTCAATGTCAGTTGCCAACCCGTTCATTAAATGATGACCATGCAGGCTTATGCTTTGTAATACACACTGCTACGAAGAGTATTAATGATTGCTCTGGATGACACTTATAGATCAAACAGTGAACCAAAGAAACTACACATCTTCGATTTGTGCTTCACCCAATCTGTACGGTAATGTGAACATTGCGCTCACAAAGAACGAAACTGCTCAGGACAAACAGTGGAAGAGAGGGGAAATCTA